TATAAAAAATTTTGCGATGATTAGAATATGGATAAAAATTATTTAAATATAAAGTAGAAATGTGCTTTAATTGAAATGTAATTAAGAAATAATGGAAAATCTTAATTTTTTAATTTAGGTATTTAAGATATTCAAGATGATTTGTGTAAAGTTTTATTGCGATGCAAAGATTAGTTATTTTGTAAATAAAAATTAAATTTTTATTTACAGATCAACTAATTTCTATATCGCAATGAAATTTTATATTTTAAAAATAAATCTGAATATTTAAAGTTCTTATATAAAAAAATTCAGATTTTTGTCATTATTTCTTAGCTTAATATTTCCATTAAAGTGACACTTCTACATATTTATTTAAATAATTTTTTATCTAGTTTTTAAATCGTCTAAATTTTTTTGAATTATCTTTAAATACGATTTAGAATAATCTGTAAGTTTTTTATATTTTTTTATTGTAAACATAAAAATTAGCAAAATAAGTGTAATAAAGTCTTAAAAGTCATAATATGGAGAATTTAAAAAAAATCCATATTTTATTTTTTGTTAGTTATTAATCGCTACGTTTCTTTTATTAGTTCATATAATCGTTATTTATTAGCTAATAGAATTCTTTCATAGTAAAATTTATCCAATTTATATAAGAAGTTTTTTTATCTATCATAATCTATTTTGAAAAAATATTATTATTAGACATTATTATTATTAGACATACATGCGATACTAATTTAACGCTAAAAATATCAAATAGTCATTTTTGATATCTATATCTTTTTTTAAATTAATATTTGCTTTAAATAAAGAATAGAATTTTAAAGTCTTCTGATTTTAATGTTCTATCAGAATAAAGAGAATAACGTTTGCATTTTTTAATACAAGAAAAAATATATTAATATAAAAGTCAGAAAAAAATTATCGCTCGGTACTTCTATTAGCGTTAATATTGAAAACAATATTAATTAAGAGGAAAAAGAAATCATTTCGAACTGTGGACTCATTAATTCAACAAGCGAGACATCGTCATTATGTCACATTTATGTTATTTGCAATACCATGGAATCTTATAAAGAAGATATCACATCGATGAGGGAGAACAAATTTCGCCCGAAAATAGATGTGTATAACGAATAGATGAATTCAGAGACCTAATCCACCGAAAATAGATCTGTCGAATAAGAAGAAGCAGATTCGCCAAAATATTTATGCTACTCTTGAGCCGTTCGCATGCTTTACAATTCCACGCGAGTCTTTGGCGGATTGCCCGGATGTCCCGGAGGGGCTTCGACGAACTTAAAAATCAATCGACACTCAATTGAATAGAGTTACTCGTAAAATCAAAAAAATAAAATTTATTTTTGATCGTTTGCATTGAATTTGCGTCCTGAAAATTAAAATGTCCCGCGGTCTATTAAAAATCATAAAATTTTATTCAAAAAAGAATTCTTTCCTTTTACCTCTTTCACTGTGTCACTTATCGATCACTGTGTCTTTTCTATCATTTCACATGGTCAATTACTAGCTAATAAAGCTAATTCTTTCGCAACAAAAGTACATATACATCGTTTTGGAGAAATAAATAAATAAACATTACCTCTAATTCGGGATTAGGGATGAGAGACAAGGAAAATAATATTTTTAACTCTGACAGACTCATAAGTCTGTAGATAAAAAAACTGAGATCAGGCTTATAAAACCTATTTTCTCAATCTTCCAGGTGAACCCATCAAGAGATCAACGCGCAAAGTTACAATCATTCGAAACATGAATAAAAGAGGAGCCTTTTTCCATGGAAGAGAATAAGACGGATATCTGTCCGGCGGATATCTTTTTTCACGGCGAGCAAGTGAACGAATCCACGGACCATCTTTTTCTAGTCGACGGAAATTCTCGAAATTGAAGAGACACAATTATGAATTCGAAACAGGCGGAAACGTGGCTGGCGATATTATACACCGGCTCCATGGTGCTCTCGGTAACGTCGATCGTATCGTTCGTGACCGCGTGGCAGCATTGGACGTGGACGTTGGACGGCTGCATCGACGTCGATTGCGGCTGCATTCTGTACGGGATCAACACGTTTCACACGTTCCTCGGCGGCGACGTTAAGCTGTGCCACTTCGCCTGCTACGGCCTCGCGCCCGTCGCCGTGATCGCCTTGTGCCTCGGTGCACATCACGGATACAGATGTTGCATACACAAGAATCTAGATGAGCCCAAGCGAATCATTCACGCGCAAACGTACGACGACGACAGGTGCTCGACCCTGAGTGCTTCTTTATCATCTACGTAGATTGTTGCGTAAAAGTTGATCCGCCTAAAGCGATCGAACAGTTCATTTCTGCTGTTTAAATTTTGTCTTAATAGAGACACCGATGTTTCTGCTTTCTCAAACAGGGAAATTTACGATTAAATTGTTTTGATTAAAATAGAATCCGTTAGTTGGCAAGTATTAGTTATCTTGAAATTTAATCTGTAAAAGATTTCTGATATATCAAGTTCAGAGAAGAAAGTGAAATTTTCAGCATTATTTTTCGTTTTTTTTTTAATTCGCATAATAATGTATTCGCAATTTATTGTATTTTATTCGAGAGCTTAAATTAAAGAAACAATTTTTTAACTTTGTGCATTGTACAACAGCGCGACTCTCATTTGCTTTTTGTATTTTTCATTTAATTTTATTTAAATTTGTAGAATTTAGTTAATTTAGTTTCTGCAATTATATATGTTTCTTTAATGAAATTTATCTTTTAGAAAAAATCTCAACGGACAGGTCGTGGTACGCGTGAAAAAAAGGGTTGCTTTTAAATGGTGGATGCCAGTCGGTTTTCTCGCAGCGTTCGTCTGCTGTTTATCTCTCGCCCACGCAGTCGTGATAACCGACGGCTATTACAAAACCTGCGAACAATACAAACGAAATCTCATTCAAGACTTGGGCTCGAGAGGCCGAGAAATCCAGGTAGGATGAATATCCGTTTCTTTCAATTTCGATTTTACAGCTAGTATATTTCAAAAATAAGACTCAAAGATCAGGATAATCTATTTTAACTTGTTGTGTGTGTTATTCCGTGCAGGTTATTCATAATAGGCTTCCGTGTGGAGCAATCTTCGACTTCATGGATTATATTAAGCCAGACACCAATTATTGGGTACGTGGTAGTGAGATCCACACCGGGATCGCGCTTCAGCTCGCGATCACCACGAGTTGGCTCAATTTCTTCGTTTGGCTGACCGCGTGCTCGATAAATTTCATCATGGCGAGAAAGCGGCAGCGTAATTTAGGAGAGAAATCCTGCTGCTGTTGCTGCTGAGTGACATCCTCGGTAAAATATTCATGAGAGGAACTCGACATTTTATTCTCGTAAAATAAATAAGAGAGATTTTTAAAAAATACGACAGAACACGACGTATAAAATTAATGCGTGTTAATAGTATACATTTTATTTATGTATTTTATACAGAGATAGTGTTTTCAATAATAACTATTTCCCTCGTATGCCTAATATAAAAAAAAATCAAAGACTCACTCGTTCTCTTGTGGAAAATAACCGCGTCTCCCTCTCTTATATTCTGTATAATTGCATTCTTTTTATACATTTTTACACAATTCTCATTACTATATTACACATACACATTGTATACATGTTGGAACAATATTTTTGATCGTCCTAAGAGTCCTAAAAATCCACTAAACTTAGCATAAATGAGAACGTGTGACTTTTTTTTTTATATTAATTTTTCGATAATTGCGTTAGATTATTATTCGTGATCGAGATGACAAAGAAAAATACTGTAACACCTGTTGTAGTGCAGGCAGTGACGAAATTTAAGTGTGTACTGGTGAAATATCCGTAAATTCGACACAGATATATTTAGGATATTTATTTTATTTCCCACGCGTGTACATGAGAAAATGAAAAGAAGAACCTATAAACCAACGGTACAATAAATAATAATATATGACGGTTTAAAGAAGGAATGTATCATATTTATACTACATGCGTAGAGTCGTAAGGATTTCTACCATCGAATTACATTCTTTTCTTAGAACGTTAAATTAAAAATGCTCGGCATTTCGTAACCCCTAGTTCGTTCTATTTTATACACAATGCGCAGAATGATGGAGTATTTTATTTTAAGGCTTGGAATAACAATGGTTCTCTCATATGTTCAACAAATATCCTTTAAATCATAATCCATAAAATTTAAATCATTCCCTTCGTCAAATTCATCGTGTCGGTTTGTTGAAATTTCATGTTTAATGTTCTATTCGCATAAATCACTCTTTTACTTTTGTGATGGCGGCATCAAGAATCGCTTTTAACTTCCTATAGATTACATACACCTCACCGTTATATGTATAGGAACTAAACAGAAAGAAACATTTTCTCAGATACACTATCCCTTACATATATAAATACAATTGACTCTGGTTATCTTATAATACTATTTAGCTTTTATGCTACACAACAGCAAAGACTGCAAGCTTGAACGCTACTCGATAAAGGAAGGCACCTAATCATACAAGCTAATATCTACAAATTATGTTACATTTTTATATATATATATATATATATATATATATATATATGTAGATAGATGCATGTGCATAAAAACACGTAGATTATAAACATTTTCTTCTTTTCATAATATTGTCACATCTTTTTACACTGAATTAGATCCTGTCCGTAGAGTCGATTAAAAAGGCGCAGTATATTAGCAGTAAAAAATTTTGTTTAAAATAATCTCCAAAGCTATATAAAAACGTATTACATTTCAGTTATCGGGATCGAATAATTTAACATACACGGATTCCCTCTCAATGTGAGATAGAAATTAATATTAATAAATATTCCTACTAGTACTGCACTAAGTACTAGTATATCGCTTCTACTATTCGTGCATTTTATTTAACAGCCTCGACGGACAATCGTGTCGTTAGAATTCGTTTCGGACAATTCGTCTGTGAACCGCAGCGTTGTCGAATTATAAACGATTATTCAAAAAGAGACATATCCATTTTATACAATGTGAAATATTAATCGAGGCTGTTAAACAAAATAAGTCAGTCTTACACGATAAGGCCAATTCTTTAGGCGAGCCTCTGTTCGCGAGAAATATTACAAATCGATGCTATATATCTGCGCCTTTGTAACACTAATTTCTGTAAATTATCCATTATGTTAATCCTCGTAAGAAATACTCTGTTGCGATTTCTCCTTCGAGAAACCGTAAATACATGATAAAAATTTCACCTCTTTCATCGATGCTAAACTCTGCAACGAATTGTGTTTACAGATATATATATGTGTGTATGTATAGTACAGATTAACTTTCTTAGAAAAATTGTTTTGTATGAACTAGTAGATTGTACTAGTAGAAATCTACAAATTTTTAAAGTACAAACGTAGTGAAAAGACTTAGCTGCAAAAATAGATGCACGAGCTTTCTCTACCTATTTTTATTATTTTTGGTATCGAGCTGCCAAGTTCCACAACCTGGTTTTATGCTAAAACATGTTGGGAAGTGTCTCTCTCTCTCTCTC